TATTTACCCGCATAAATAAATTATCTGTCCTAGAATCTCGCCGAACTTAACGGGTCCAGGCGGAACTCGCTCTCACACCATGTGCTGCTGCTGTTTGGACTTTTATTGGTTATTTGCATAAGCAAAACTTAAACACTGAATCTGACGGTGAGGAAAGATTTTTGCTTTGTCCTCCAAATATACGTGTTTGTGGAGGTTGAAACCGTCCAGATTTGGTGGCCACGCTCTATCCACGTGATTGATCAGTGTATTCCACTCGCCTGAAGCGCGCACTTGCTGGTTCCGCCTCGCCGCCCGGGTGGGTTTTATTGCTCAGCCCTGGGGACTCCTAAATGACCCTTCAGTAATTATGACACACTTGAAGCCCATTCCTCCCGTTCCGGTGCTATCAACAATCACATCAAACCCCAAAATAAACATAGGATTTCAAGCATTAATTAAAAAATCGGCATGTTTTCAATAAGGCTAGAAAGTAAGCGTACCGAGGTCAACCAAGTCAAAGGAGCAACCAAAAAGAAAAGGCTACCAGCCGAACTCTGCTGTCTCCTCTCACACTGTTCCAGCACGGAAAACCTTGCCCCTAGATTGACAATAAGGACACAGCCTGGTGTTCTAATTTAATGCAAGTTCTTATATCTCCAGTACATTTTTAAGTGGGCGGGATTTTCTGGTTGAGTTTTGTAAGGTATTCAGCAAATATAAAATGTACCTTAATGATTAGAAAGGGTATTGAGGTCAAATTCCTGATCCTGACAAATGGACTTGGAGAGGGTGGACTGTCCCCTTTAATAAAGGTTCGGATCCCACAAACCTGTGATCCCACGCCTCATTATTTTAATCTGTGGGAAAGTTAGTCCTCCGCCTTGCGTCCCAACCTTACGCCAAAATGCTGTTCCTTGCTGAGGGAAAGTAGTGGCCTTGCTTTTCTCTGGGTTACAGCACTCCCTCCCTGATAAAAGTGCTCTTTTCGGGCATCCACTGGAAGTGAAGTATTCCGACGAATTTAGAACACTTTCTGAGGTTTTAATTGGTTTATATCTTTAAAAAAAATCGGAAGTCGTTTGTCTTCGTTAATTTTAATCCGTTAAGATCACAAGCTTACAAACAAAACAGGGGCTCCAGCAAAGCTTTTGTCACTTTTACTTTCTCAAATTTAACTTAAAAAAAAAAACAACTCTCTTTTTTACCAACATCAATTGGAGGGGGGAGATACGAAAGGAATAGAAGACCTCAACCAACCTACACTTGAAGCCTCTGAGCTTAATCTTTGAAATTGTTACAAACCTCCCATGCTCGCTTGTGATTCTTAAAAGGGAGGGGGGAGTCCTAGGAAAGTGTATCTCCAGTCCCAATCAAAACATCAATTTGGCAATCTGGCCTCTTTCCCCTTGCACTCCCGAACTGCCACTTCAAAGCCCCTACAACAAGTCAGTAATTGTAACGTTGCATCTAAATATTTAAGCGAGAGTCTTGCAGTCGCGTGTCCATTTACAGTCCTCATCTGTCCTCTAATTCCATTACGGCACAAAGCAAAAATGTTGCCCAAAACTCACAAACAGGAAAAGCGTCACCCTGCTGGAGAAGGAGGAGGAGGAGGTGAAGGAGGAAGAGGAGGAGGAGGGGAGGAGGAGGAGAGGAGGAAGAGGAGGAGAAGGAGATAATGAAGGAGCAGTTTCTATTGATTAGTCACCGCTTTTGTGTTAAGGGCTTTCTTTAAAATAAGAAAAAAAAATGGGGGGAGGTTGCAGAAATTTCACTAATGTGAGCCTCAGGCAAGGGAGGGAAAAAAAGAGGAGAAGAAGGGGGAGGCGGGCTGTGTCTAGATGAAAGTGAGAAGGACATAAAGGAGGCAATTGAGTCGGCTGCAGCCCGGCGAGCTAAGCTTCGAGCCGGCCGGAGCGAAGGGGAGGGGGCGGCGCGGCGCGGCGCTTTGGCGCAGGGCGCAAGAGTGGGGGCACAGCCCATTGTGGCGGCGCCCGCGGGCCCGCTCAGCCGCGCCGGGGGAGGACAGAGGCGCCCATTGAGTGGCCGCAGCGCAGGCCGTGCTCACAGCCCCCGATGCCTGGGCCGGAGCTTGGCTCCCCCGGCTGCGCCTGCTCCCATCTCAGTGTCGGCCAGGGGCGCGGGAGGGGGAGTTGGGTGTTCCCGAGCCACCCAACCCTCTCCGTTCCCTCGGGCCAAGAAGCTGGAAGGATGGACCAAGCTCCCAGTGCGCGCCAGGTCGCCCGGGCCAGAGCGCCTCAGGTCCGCACTCCGCGCTGCTTTAGGATAGGGCTAGAGAAAAGGGAAAGTTGGGAAGGCAAAGGGGACCATCTAGGAGAAAGGGCAAGACCCTGGAAAGAAGAAGGCGGTAGTTCTGACCTCTTTCAGGGTACCTCTTTCCCTGTGTCCTAGTGTCTGCCGAGCAGACCCCGGGTTAAAGATGTCCCACGAAAAATCAGTCCCGCAGCACCCACCAGGCCTACCCCAGGCTGGAACATCCGGCGAGAGCACACCGCAGTGGTCAGGACACCCCAAAGTCCCTCCTCCGCCGCTTTTCCCTGCTCCCTAGAAGCCTTTTCTTGACATTCATTCTATTTTACAAGAGGGGCAGCCTGAGACTTTGGATGCCCAAACAACAGAGGGGAATTTTTGAGGTTTTTAGACTTCAAACTACATCTAATTCTCCCTTCTCTGGGCCCCTCTTGCCCTCCAGGGCTCATCCGGAAAGGGAGCTGGAGGCTCTGAGGAGACTGACTTTGCATCTTCCTTGACAACCCCAAATTAAATTTAGGTTTCAGCCTGACTCTGTGTGTGTGTGTGTGTGTGTGTGTGTGTGTGTTTTCATCCGCACAGCCCTCAATGGGGAAAATACTCTGATTTTTAAAATGGTAGCAATTGCCCTTGAATGGCAGCCGGCCCAGCTAGACAGCCCAAAAGACTAGAAACATTTTGTAGGTGAAATGGCCACTTTTTCCACGCTGGAGAGTCCATAAAACTTCCTGGCGCAGCAGCTATTGGGGCTCATTGAATAATTCATCCCTCATTGCAAGCCCATAATGTCTATTCTGGGCCCTTTGTGGAGCTGTTTTCTCTTCTTTTCTCCTTGAATTATAAAAAGGTTGCCTTCCTTTGTTCACATCAAGCTGCTCCGAGTTGGAGCTTTGTCTGGGCCAAGCTAAAGTGTGAGTTTCAATGGACTCTCCGGGCTTTGTCTCCCAAGTTCATCTCCAAGTGTAGATTGTGTAGAGAAGGCCTTCATTGTAAAAGCTGGAAAAGTTGTACAAATGTTTGACCAGCTCATTTGGGACGTTTTGTCTCCTGGGCCTGAGTTGCCTGTGCTGTGAGGGAGCGGCTGATCTGCCTGGCTGCCGCCTCTAGCAACAAGTAGCAAAGCCATGGGCCCAGCTCTCTGGGCTCCAACAACTCAGGGCTCTCCTCTCCACTGCCTCAAAAGAATATTTGGTTTGGAGTTAACTGACTCCTCAACTCCTCACTTTCTTCCCACCCCAGCGCCTCTATGCTGAACATATGACTGGGATAAAGAGGTGTGTGTCTTCTAATCGACCTGGGCAAAAAAAAAACCACTCCTCCAAAAAAGAAGAACTTAGACTGAGTTCATGTGAGGCCCCAGCTGTAAAGGGAGGGGGGCAGCAACATGTTTTTTTCCCTGCTTAACCTCCTGTAGTTTGGGGTACCTTTTCTTGATTGCAGTGTGCCTCAGACTATCTGTGCTTCTGTTTATCCCTTAAATCAGACACTTGGGTTTGTAATATCCAAGTGCTCCTTGAGTGTGGATTTCACATTGCTTTGTAAAGCAGCTGCTCTGGAAGGCCAGCCAGTGCACCCAGGGGTGGACAATGAAGGTAAAAGAAATGACCAGCCTCCTGACCCACAGTTCCAACCTGGACACCACCCTGGTGAAAGCATGGACCCAGATAATCAAAGTGGGTGACTCCTTCAAGCCTGCTATAGAGCTTTGTGCCACTCCAGAGCAATTACAAAACTCAACTCCAGCCCAATAAAGTCTGAGACCCAGACCAGGGAACTCTAGGAGTAGGCAGGACACCCGGCGACTCTGCACCATTGTGAGTTTGAAGAGATGCCAGGATCTGCAAAGGAAGACTCAGGGCCCCACTCCTGCTGCAGTGATCTTTCCTAGTTCACCTCCCAAGGTTTGCTTGCATTCTTGCTTCTTTCCTTCCTTTCTGTGAGTAATTTTAAAGCTCAAGGATGACTCTTTTCTGTGAGTAATTTTAAAGCTCAAGCAGGTAAAGGGGAAGCAGGCTGCCTTCTTGCTCCCCTAGGGGGAGATTTTCTCTAGGTGCTGACAGGCTACAGCCAACATGGAGTGGGTGGTCCGCACCCCTGAGGGACAGAGGGTGCAGCACTAAGGACTAAGGACTCAAGATCCCTTTGACTGAAACCCAGACACATCAAGTTAAACCCCATTACGCTTGAAAACCAATTTAGAACAAACGAAAAACAGCCAAAGTATACCACAGGCACATTCATAGGGCAGCATATGTGGGGCAACTTTGGGTGCCCAGTGCCCAAGAGCATGCTCTCTCTGGAGCCTGCTCTGTCTCTGTAATACGGAAACTTAGATCTGGGCTTTTCCTGAGGGCACAAAAGCTACTTCAAAAAGTTACTTTAAACTCTAAAGGGTGGAGTAGCCTATACCCTCCCCCAACCCCACAATCCCTCAGAGATTCCCAATCTCGGACTCCATAGACCCCATCACCATTGAGAACGCAATTCATAGTTCTAGACTCCTAAGGGTTGAAAGTGGTAAAGAAGGATTTAGAAACGTTTAAAATTTAAATAAAATTAAAACTTAAATAGATACGTTTTTGTTTCAGCGGTGGGTGTCTCTCCGGTCTTTGATTGAATGCGCATGCCCGAATACAGTGGCTGAGAACCAAGAGAAGGGACTTCGACAGGAGCCGGAGCTGGGCGGCCTTCAGGCGCTCAAAGTCAGAGAACCGACGCTAGCTAAGGTCCACCGCGCCGCCGCTTACCTCGCTCGCTCAAGATGCCGTCGATGCTGTGCTTAGCCTTTTTCTCGCTTTCTTCTGCCTCCTTCCTCTCCAGGTCGGCCTCCTCCTCTTCTCCTTTCCCAAATTTACTCCTCAGGATGCGGCTGATGGAACTCACTGGGGGAAAGAAGAGGAAGAGAGCACCCACAATTAAGAGGCGCGGGGTTGTGAGGGGAGCCCCCAAACCTCAAGCCGCAATTCTAGAACAGCTACCCCATAAGCTTGGATAGTGAGTGTCTCCTTCCTCTCTTGGCACCCCTGTCTTTTGCCATCCGCTCACTCTCCCACTCAAAACGCCTTTTAAGGGCCTCTGGATAAATAAGACCAAGCCTGGAAAGTGTGCGCCTCCAATTTAGGGCTGAGAAAAGCCATCTCCGTCTCTCTTTGCCCAGTAGGAAGTGTTCCCCTTCTTGACTCCGGCTCTAGGTCTCCAACCTCAGACGTGTCCTCCACCAGCCCAGCCTACCACCCGCCTCCTCCGCACCTGAAGGTATTGGGCCCTGCGGTTTGCTTTAAGTGAAGAACCACAGAGGACTGTCCCCTGCTAATCAACTTTTTTGAGGCTGTAAGGGATTTACATTTCAACTGCAGAATCGTTTCCTATTGTAAAAATCAAAGAAAATTCACTCTCTCTCATTTATTTTTTCCAGATTCCAGTCTGGTAAACAAATCCATGCTCTGAAATATATCGTTCTCGTGGAGGGAAAAAGGGAGTTTCCTTTTAATTAAAAACAAACTCTCCCGCGCGCCCTCGCGCTGGCCCTGCGCTGGCCCTTCTCCCTCCGCCTCCCACGGGCTGCCGGGGGCGCCGGATGGTCCCTGGGACTCTCGGCGAAAATCCGGGCAGTTGCCGATGCATCCTCCCCTCCTTTTGCGCAAAAGGCAAAGTCTTCTGCTGGCGCGGCCCCATCTCCCTTCGGTTGGGGTTACCAAAACATTTGTTTCTCTTTAAAAGGGAACACCAATATTAATAAACGCTTGGCCTCCGCCTCACGTTTCCTGCCCTGCCTCCTCCACAGAAATCCTCCTGGGAGACCTCAGCGGCGGTCTCTCTTCCCTCCACCCCTGGGATGAGCAGCGCACCCCGCGCTCCATAAAACGCCAAGATCGTCAGGTTCGTGAATATCTCAGGGCCTCGGGAGAGGCGGCCTCTCAATAACCCGGATCGATCATTGGGGCGATTATGTATGGCTTGGATGACCCGCCCGGATAATAGCGACTGACCGTCGCGCCTTGGGGAGACATTAATGGGCCTAGTACCTGAGGGCACGGTGTTTCGATCACAGACCGCGTCCTTGAGTAATTTGTCCCGGATTTCCCAGCTGAACATGCCCGGGTTCTCTCTTTTGTATTCCTCAATTTTCTTCTCCACGTCAGGCGTTGTCACCTGCTTTAAGAGAACAGGCGGGCCGGCGTTGGTACCCGGTACTTTGGGCCAGACTCTCGGCGGCCCCACCTCCTCCGGGCCTGTCCGGATGCTCCTTCTTGCATCCTCTGGGAAGGTGCCCCTGGTTGGCCAAAGGACCCCAACTCTCTGAGGCAGTTCACATTAGAAAGAGGCAGACAGGAAATCGTCCCACTCCCGAGCAGCCTGGGGACACTCCACCTGTCTAGATAAGCTCCTCAGACAACCGGGTTAAATTAAGAATTACATAACACCTTGGGGCTGTGGGGCTGTACTTTCTGATCCCTGGAAATAAAGGCAACTCCTTACACTGAATCAACCAGAAAACGAAACTAAAAGGGGAATGTTTGAAAGAGGAGCTGAAAAATCAAATTAGATCGGCAACTTGTGACACTCCAAAGGGGCACAAGAGTTTAGCTAAAGAGCAGACTGAGATGCAAAAGATTAAGTATCTAGATTTTAAAAAATTAGAATGGAAAACACATATGTATAGAGAGGCCCCTACCCCAATTAAAAGCTGTTTCAAAGATTCCTAGGTTGAGAATAGGTTGGGAGAGAGAGGGAAGGTGAGAATTTTGAAAGTCTTCAGTGTGCCATAACCCTCTTGATATTGCCCCTTGGCAACTTGAAAATTATATTGGCTTCCCTCTACAATCAGAAGAAAAGGCAGACCTTGGGTAATCTCCTCCCACTTAGTCCTAGCCAGTAGGACTCTTTTTTAAAAGAGAAGCAAAATAATTTGAGGATAAACATTTTTTAACATCAAACTCATTACAAAGAAAACTAACCTCCCTGACTTTTGACTCTTCGAAAACAATTTGCACTGGGGGAGAGAGAAAGTTGGATAGAAACTATTGGGACTCAGTAGATTCCTTTTGTAAAAGACAGAATAGCGGGTTGGGGACTGGAAAGACACAGGAAAGAAATAGGCAACAGGTAGGGACATACAGCTTGCATGCTTTAGGTGTTTATTAAAGTAATTTTTGAGAATTTCGTGGTTCCTGGACATATAAGAACAAATATTGCAAAACCACTGGAGCTTTCCCATAAGGAAAGAAACATGGGGCTCCAGCAACAACCGAATCCCCCTTGTGAGACACATACACACACACACACACACACACACACACACACACACACACCTTCATGGACTTGAAAAATAATTCTTTAGAAAGCCCCAGATGGTAGCCTGCTCTTACCCACCCGATTGACCGCAGGCCGTGAGGCGGCATGGCTAGGCCCGCCTGCTCACCTTGGGCTTGCTGCCTCCGATGGCACCGGGACGGATGGAGCCTGTTTCTTGATACCTGCACAGAATCTTGGAGACGCAGCCGTGGGACACACGCAGTTGGCGAGAGATGACGCAGGGCCGAATGCCGTGGTGGGCCATCTCCACGATCTTGTGGCGGATGTGGTTGGGCAGCGGCCTGCCATTGATAAAAACGCCGCCGAGCTGGTTGACTCGGCCCTGGCCGAGGGGAGTGGATACTGGGAGAAGGAGGAAAAAAAGAGAGGCGAGGACAAAGTTACTTGGATAGAAGAGAAAGCGGCAGGAACGATCAATCCACCTAATTTTGCACTTTTCTGGCCAATCCGCATGTGACAGCCCCAACACTGAAATTGGTCCGTTTCCACTGCCAGACACTCTTTCAGTTACTTTCGTGCCGAGTTATCAAGCAACATGGGGACATACAACCTTTGTGTGAAGACAGTAACCAGGGCAAAATAACTAACCTAGAAGAGCTGGCGACTGGGGGGAAAGACCCTGAACATATGGAAGACTGTCTTCCTCTAAAAATAACCACCACCAAATCCTGCCCGACTGGAGCCCCCCTAAGGGTCTTGAGCGAGCTGACAGCCCTCGGAGTTTCTGTCTCAGAGTACAGCAGCCAAGGGTCAGAGAGGGTCTCTAAAGGAGGCACAGGTGGCAGTGCAGCGTGTCACCTGTTACATCTCGGACGGGGACTCAAAGACTGTGGGTCTGCTGGTGGACAACCTAGCCCCCGTTCATGCTCAGGGTATTGCGTTGTGCTCTAGATGGAGGACGAAGGGCGCCGCAGATTGTTTGAAAGGGCTCAGGTTTGCAAAGCTTCCTACCTCCCTGGAATTCCCAGAATCTTCAGCCAGAACAAAAGGCGATTCCCAAACAAGTTAGAGAGACTTCGAGATGCTACTTGAGTTGAATGGACCTTTAACTGATTAATACTAAAAATTCTTATTAAGATCGTTCGAGCCGCCGCTGTTAGCCACCACAATTTGCCCGACCAGAAATTTCTTTCCAAACTAAGAAGAGTTTCCTAAATGTGGGCGCAGCCAGAACACTTTGGAGACGGGTTTGGGTGGACAGAATGTGGAGAAGTTACTTCCGGTACTCCAAAGCCGGTTCACTCGGTTCTTGACTATGCGGCATCTCCAAAACAACCCGGGAAAGCGGACCCGCCGGGTGCAGGCCGGGCCGCCCAGCTCCGTAAATAATTTGCAGAGAGCACCACACTTCTTTTGCGGACAGAAAATCAAATCGGATGGGCCTTCGCCCCCAACTATTGCTACTTGGGGTAAGAGATGTTGGGGGTTTGGGATCCCTGGATTCACCAAAGAAGTCTATGGAGACTGGGATGGAGTGGGGCAGTCTCCCTAGGCGCCAGGACCCCAGCGGCGTTGAGGCCCTTCCTTACCTTCTAGCGGGAACCCGCTGCGTGGGTAGTTCTGCCCCGGGCCGGGCCTCATCATCCTGGGCACAGCACCGGCCAGCGTGGTCATCCTGGGGGCAGCTTCTCTAGGAAATTATATCCAGGTGAAGGCCAAACAGAGACGCTAGCGCGGCGACCCTCGGGAACTCTCCGGAGCGTGAAGAGCTCCTCCCCAAAAAGACAGGAGGGAGAGAGAGACGCGGGGAGGGGGGCTGCTAGCTCCAAGTCCAGAGCTCGAGGTGGAACCCGGGAAAGGGGCGGGCAGGCCCTAGAATCCAGGATCCCAAACCCAGGGCGGAAAAGTTTGGTTCGAGTCTGGGCGAACAGCCCCGCAGCTGGGGGCGCTGGAAAGGGGGCTCAGAGCGCCACGAAGAGCGAGGGAGGGGGTGAACGCAAGCGCGGCCAGAGTCTCCTCCCGTCGTGACACTGAGTGCAGGGATCCGGGCTAGGGAGCATTTATTAGTTCTTTCACCCAAAGCTTGGTCAGGAGCCCTGAGCTGCGATTGGCCAACGGGGAGACCGTCCCGGGTGGCGGAGACACGCGCTGATTGGGCGACAGCGGCCACTTTCTCTTCCCATCCCTGACTGTGCGGAGGCCTCCGCCTGCCCCGAGAGGGACCTGCGCGGCGCGCCTTCCCGAGAGAGAAGGGTGAACCGCTGGAAACTGGGACAGACAGCCCCAGGGTGATGAGAGCCTCTGAAAATGGAGAGGAGTCTCTTTCTCTGTCTTTGTTACTCTTGTGCATCCTGGTCTCTCTCTCCTTGGTTATTTTTCTGTCTCTCTGTCTCTATCTCTGTGTGTGTCTCTGCGTGTATGCCTTTTCTTCTCTGAGTCTATTCCTCTCACGGTGTCCCTCTTGAAGTTGCCTTTTTCCACCTGTGGGTCTGTCCCTGGGCTTACTGCCACTGGAGGGGGCGCAATTCCACTAAAAATTTATGGGAACCCGAGATACGTTCAACTTTCCTTCCTCTGGTCTGCCAGTACCTCTTAGCCAGGGCTCTTATGGGGTCCCCCCCCCCCGTGGAGTTCCTCTCAAGAAGACTTCGGGGTGTACCAATAATGTTCTTTTTGTCTTCTCAGTGGGGGGGGGGGTGAGGGATAGGTGGGGTAGCTCAAAGGGTGGGCAGACACTGCTGGGCCCTAAAACTGTTAGTTGAAGGCTGGGGGTGGAGGAGGTAGGATCATCTTCTTTTCTTGATTTAAAAACCCTTCTGAGAAGCTGGGGCTCTAAATTTCCACGTAGAGCTCCCTGATGAAGAGATACGTCTATATGTTAAAGTTTTGCCGGACTGCAGCGTTTGTTCTCAGGAATTTATTATGGTATTCAGAGTAAACTGCTGGAAAAATAAAAGGAGTGAAGTCTTGGCTAGGAGCTGAAGTGTCCCCAGCAGGATATGACGCCAGGAGTGTTGTAAAGACTGTCTGTCCTTAGAGAAGGTACCATTGTGCATAGCCTTTTATTTATAACTTGGTAAGTGCCAGCGAACTCGCCTCCTTTACACCCCCGAGTGCCAGCCCCGCGCTCTGGCCCGCGCTTTATTCGCTCAAGTCTATTCAGGGACTGTCACTCTGGGGCTGTGAGGTATTCAGGGCCTTAATCAATCAAAAGGATGAGAATCAGGCAGGTTTTTCCCTTTGAAATAAAGGAAACAATGACTTCTGGGCTTCAAGTTCCCCCTTTTCCTTTTACAATTTTTGAATTTTTCCTGCCCTGCAGTTCTCCACCCCTCTCTCCCTCTCTGCCCCCCGCCCCCACCTCCTTTGACATTTTTGACATGTGCTGGTCCCCTCAACCTTCCTTGTCCACTCCCTAATTAAGGCAAACTCAGAAGGCAAGATTGGAGGGGAATAGTTTAACTGCTCAGCAGTCCACGAGTTGGCCCTTTAAACACCCACTCCCAGCAGGGAAAACAGACAAGCTTTCTCTTAGGCTTGATGTCAAAAGGCTTGGTTGACCAGGGGAGCATCAAATTCAGGCCTCTGGAGGCTCCAGAAAATATCTGGACAACCCTCCTGTCCACTCACCCTTGGGGAGGGGCATGTGCATTCATAGTATAAAGCAGAGAAGCAGCTTGGAGTTGGAGCCCCGTTTAACCTGGTTTTGCATAAAACAATTCAATGTCAGGAGGAAAACTTTCTCATTTCCTTTTTGAGGACTGGGGGCCACCAAAGTCTGTGCCCTTTATTCCTTAAACTACTTCTCATGGATAGCATCTGAGGACTAGATTTTTTTTTCCCTCATGTTTTCTTCTTCCAAAGGTTGAGAGGAGCCCACAAGAGCAATTTCTGGGATCAGTGGTATTTGTTGGGGAAGTGGGGTACCTGAAATGTATTTAAAGAGGGCGAATACAGGGCTCAGTACAGAAACCCAAACACCCAAGGTGAGCAGTTTTAAAACCTCTGGGGCTGAGACTCATTTGTTTTTGAACCCAAGCTTGGTCTCCAAGCCCTCAGGATGTTGACCCTGCGCTCTCCTACAGAGTGTTCTCCATGTGTGAAACTGATGAATCTTTACCTGCACTACCCTGGCTTTCCAACTCCCCTGGACACTTGAACAGGAGATGCTGCTATTTAAATGGGCTTTCAAGTGCCCATGAATCTCAGTCCAGTAGTTCATTCATAAACTAGCAGTCACTTGCTATCAAAATGTACAAATGGAAGCCCCAAGGATGTGTGAGGGTTTCAGGCCTGAAGCTCCTGAGTGGAGGTTTGAATCTTTTCTTCTTCTTTCCAGATTTTCTTCAGCCTGGCCCTCTGAAGTTAATAAGCAGCCAAAGGATCACCTTGTTCCTTCTCTACCCTAAGGACCTGGGAGTTGGGGGCTGGGGGAGTACCCTTAAGCTGGGGACAACTGCACCACTTCCAAAGACCTCAGAGGCCGAATTTTCCAGGGCAAGTGGTGTAGAACGCCCTCCCAAGAAGTCCAGGACAGCAATGTTGGCTCGGTCACCTCTGCTGCTGGGTCCAGCTGCCAGACCAAATTAAGCCCATACCCCAGGACAATACAACCTCTTCCCAACAGGTTTGTGGGAGGGCCTGGTGATTCCTGGTTCCCTAGAAGTTTCAAAGGTTGAACTGAGTTCCATACTTCAGCCACTCTCTCTACCTCAGAGGCCTGGGCCTCCCCTTCTTTCCAAAGTTTTCCGGGAAGTCAAAACCACCTGGCCTCACCTCCCTGCAGCTGAAAAGGAACATCCACTCAGGCCACTACCCTATCTGGTTCCAATGGGCCACAGAGTCCTGGTGCCCATTCTGGCACACGCACTAACTGGCAAAAGAGTGACCCAGGGGTGGGGCTTGGAAGGTAAAAGCCAGTGTTCTGAAGCTCTGAACTGGGGTTAGGGCAGCAGCATCATTTCTGCAGGCAGAAAAATTACCTACAATGAATCCGGGGAAAACCTGAGACAGCTTTGTGACCGATGGTGCCATCTACTCGTTCGTTCTCTCTCCTATATGTGCAAAATGAAACTAGAGCCTGCAGAACAATAATAGAATAATTCAACAACAAAGAAAATCACTTGCTGTTGCCTCCTGTGCCCCTCTGCAAAGGAACTCTTCAGAGGAATGCCCAGTGCAATTGGCAGCAGTCTGGCTGTGCAGGCCTCAGGGAGCATACATACCATCCTCTTCAAGGTGCTATCTCCCGCGGGTTTGGATGCATCGATCTGCATTCATATGGCGCTTTGACCCTTGGATCCGGGCTGCTCAACACCATTCTGTGAGCAGCCTCTGCATTTGGGGATCCCAGTATAGAAGTTTCATGACCCACGGGCTTCTCAAGTCCTCTGAAGGATGACCTCATTTCCAGACAAACAAAGGTCTTAAGAGGAAATTATGAACTAGAAAAATAATGTCCGTGCGTGGTGGGGGGGTGGGGTGGCGGCAGGCCTTTTTTACAAGGTCGAAGGCCGGAGGCCGAGCTCTGGGAGTCTGGTGGGCTGGGGAAGCACCTGGCCTTACGCTCCGCCCCAGGCGTGACTCTCAGGATGCAGTCTCGAGTTGGCAAAGGCAGTGAAACCCTCTATGCCACAGAAGGACTGTCTCGTGCTCACGGGAAGAAATTAAAACTCCAGGTTCCTCATCACGAACTTCCTGGCCAGATGCTCTGGTACCGATAGGGAAATGGTGCGGGTTAAACCCGTTGCCGCCGCAGCCACAGAGACCGTCATTAGGACCCCCGCAGTTATTTGTCAAAAGCATTGGCGCCGCTGTTCTCCCCACCAGAAAATTCGTCGGGAGGAGTTCGGATTTAGGAACTGGATGGAGATCTGGACGCCTCATTGAAACGTGGTGTGGGCCGGCTGCAGTGGGTTTGCCCCGGCAGTGCCCCTGCAGTGGAGGGAGCCGCAGGGAACTCGTGAGCAGATTCCCAATAAAGAACATATGGCTTGTGAGAAGGAAGGAAAGAGGAAGGAAAAGAGGAAAGGAAAAGGGAGTGTGTGTTAAAAATTACATTGAAAGGCAGTGAAGGAGGCAGAGAATGAATCTCACAGCAACTGGTTTCCTACAGAAGTTCACTTAGGTCTGTAAACGTTTTTATGCCAACAAGAAAGACAGAGCCCCATTCTCCAGAGGAAACGCATCTTGAAATAAATAAGTCAATAAGTTTAAAAATAAATAAAATAGTCTTATCTGCACACCTTGTTAAGTGTATGCTTGGGAGGAGATTTTGATGCTCAGAGAGGAAGTTCGGTAATTACTCTGGTGCATATGGGGGGAGCAGTGTGAGTGTGAGTGCGGGCACACAAGTTAAGGGACCTGGTGCATTTGGGCGGGCAGTTAAGGTTCAAGGGGCCTTTCTTAGACCGGGGAACTGGCTGATACTGGGGGTATCCTGGGTCTTTGGTAAGGGAAAAGTCTAACCTATGTAGAGGCCTGCGGAGGGTTGAGGTGGGGGCGGAAGCAGAGCTGGCAGACGCGAATAAGGGAAGCAGGAGGGTCTCCTGGGTTTCTGAGAGCTTGTCTGGAGCAAACAGGTGGGCAAATGACCCCTCCAGAAGCTCCTGCCCTAGATTGCATGGACTCAAAGAGTCGGAACTGATGCCTCGCTCCAGGGTCTGGCGGAGTTGTGGAGGGGAGAGAAGT